CAGTGAAGCAACGTCCTCCACAACTAGACTGAAGAACAAAACGACAGCAACTTGTCTGTTCCCCTTCCCCAATCCCCCAGTACTGTTCCCATCCCCCGAATTCCCCAATAAAAAAAAAATAATAATAATAAAAAATAAAAAAAATAAAAAAGTCGTATTTAATTCATGTAAGGCTAGTTCCCATTTATAAGAAAAGCTCCCAATTCTATAAATAATGATAACTTTGCCCCATTTGATATGCATATTGGCCTGGTTTGAGCTACAGAGACTCCGACATTTTAGCAATAACTTCTATTAGACACTAAAGAGAAGCACTTGTAGTGCGAGCTCTGAGCAACAGTGGTTCAATGCCCGGCCCGAGCTGAGCTGCCAACAGGCGGCAGGATGGCCCAGTTAAAAAAAATAAAAATAAAAATAAAAAGAAGCACTTGTACTGAACCATCTTTGTATCAAGCTTTTAAAATATACACACACTTCTTATTGGAGCTTTTATCTGATCTTTTTAAACCTGGTGCTGTTTTTCCACTCAGATTTCTTTGCTTCTGTGTGTATGTGTATTGTGTGTGTATATTTCAAATATTAATCTCGGTAGCTTTACAAGAGTCTGCCACTGAGCACGTGTTTGCTAGTTATCAGAGCCTGTTCATCCTTTTCTGACACTTGGGGAAAACTGATGGTATCCAGCTACAGAGCAAATCGAGTCTGGGGGCTGCCTTCAAGGGATAAAATGCTGCTTAGGGAAAGACAGATTGTCTTGTGGCTGAGGAACAAGGATCTCAGCTCATCCTGCAGTTTGATTAATATCCAGAGGGTGCCAAAAAAATGTATACACATTTTATGAAAGGAAAACTGTATTAAAATTGTAATACTTGGGCCGGCCGAGTGGCTCAGTTGGTTAAGAGCATGAGCTCTGAGCAGCAGGGTCACTGGTTCGATTTCCACATGGGCCAGTGAGCTGCGCCTGAGCTGAGCTGCTGCTGAGCTGCCAACAGGTGGCAGGATTGCTCAGCTGGTGAGAGCACGTGCTCCTAACAACAAGGTTACCAGTTCGATTCCCTCATGGGATGGTGGCTATGTCCACCCGCAACTAAGATTGAACACAACACCTTGAGCTGAGCAGCTGCGAGCTGCTGACAGGCGACCGGATGGTGACTGGACTTGGAGCTGAGCTAGCTGCGCCCTCCATAACTAAGATTGAAGGACAACTTGGCTGTTCCGCTTCCCCAATTCCCCAATAAAATCTTTAAAAAAAAATTGTAATACTCAATATATACTGATAACAAAAGATGAATAAAAGTCACATTTGACTTCTGCAATTATAAGAGGTGTTCAAAGTGGTTACCATCAGTGTAATTTTAATACAGTTTTTTCCTTTCTCAAAATGTGTATACATTTTTTTGGCACCCTCTGTGTGTATATATATATATATATGTTGAATACGTGGTGATCTCAACGCTCAACCTCTCTTCTTTCTTTATGAGAGAAATTCCTAACACCTTTCATGTTTTCTTTCTGTAGCTCTTGTTCCATTCAGAAGTGGAAAATATGCAAGTCACCCTTGCATGTCAAGCTGCTCCAACAAATGCTTTGATGGTAACTGTCCAGCAGGCATCCTTCTATTACACTCCCAGAGGGGGCTGTCCTGCTCATGTCAAGGTGAGTCTAAGACGGAGAAGACTGAGCCATGCTACTACTACGCCCGCTCAAGTCAGGCTGCCCCTTTTCCTTCCCTAGTTTCCTCTTTCCCTCCTACCTCCCTCCCTCCTTCGGCTTCTCCCACCCCTTCCTCCTTTCTTTCATCCCCCCCCTCTCTGCTCCCTTTTTTCCTTCTCTTTTTCCCTTTCTTCCTAATTTCCTAATATGGATCAACACATGACCAAATCTTCACCGGGCCTTTTAATTTTCAGTACTTTGCTAATAATTTTTTCTTTGTATGTAACTCTGTAGTATTGACTAGCTAGAATCATTCAGCAAAAAATAACCCGTTCCTCCATCCCTGCCCTTTGTAGATACGTGATTCCACTGTTTTATGTTTTATCCTTTCATCCTGTATTTCTTATTGCAGAAGTCAGCAGGTACATTTGTCCCTTCTTTTTCCACAAAAACTAACACATACTACATATACTCTTTCTTTTGTCTGGATTTTTTTTTGGTTGTTATTGAGATATAATTCACAGAACATAAAATTCACCCCTTTATAGTGTATAATTCGTAAGATCATGCAACCATCACCACTATCTAATTCCAGAACATTATCATCATTCTCAAAAGAAATTCTGTACTCGTTAGTAGTCACTCCCATTCCCCCTTCCCTCAGCCCCTAACAACCAGTAATTTACTCCGTGTCTCTGTAGATTTGCCTATTCTGGACATTTTTTATAAATGGAACCATACAATGTACGACCTTTCATGTCTAGATTTTTTTTACTTAGCATAATGTTTTCAAGTTTCCGCCATGTTGTAGCATGTATCAGGACTTTATTCCTTTTTACTGATGAATAATATTTTATTATATGGATATACCATATTTTGTTTATTCAATCGTCAGTTGACAGACACCCGGTTGTTTTTATATTTTGGCAATTATGAATAATGCTGCTATGAACATTCATGTAGAGGTTTTTGTTAGGATGTATGTTTTGAGTTTTGCTAACACTTGTTATTGTCTCTCTTTTGTATTTTAGCCATCCTAGTGGCTGTAAAAATGGTATTGCATTGTAGTTTTCACTTGCATTTCTCTAATTACTAATGATGTTGAGCATCTTTTCATGTGCTTATTGGCCATTTGTATATCTTTGTTAAGAAATGTCTATTTAAATCCTTTGCCCTTTTATAAATTTGGATTTTTTGTTATTTCATTACTGAATTGTAAGAGTTCTTGATATATTCTTAATACAATTCCCTTATCAAGTATATGATTTGCAAATATTTTCTCCCATTTGGAGGATCATCTTCTCATTTTCTTTCTTTTTTTTTAAAAGATGTTTTTGGGGAATTGGGGGAGGGGAACAGTGTTGGGGTATTGGGGAAGGGGACCAGCCAAGTTGGTGTTCTTCAATCTTCGTTGTGGAGGGCGCCATAGCCATCTGGCTGCCTATCAGCAGCTCATGGCCTCTAAGCTCAAGGTGCTGTGTTCATTCTTAGTTGCGGGTGGGCATAGCCCACCATCGAACAGACAATCTTGTTGTTACACCAGCTGAGCCATCCTGCCACCCATTGGCAGCTCAGCGACAGCTCAGCTCAGGCGCAGCATCACTGGCCCATGTGGGAATTGAACCGGCGGCCCTGTTGCTTGGAGCTTACGGTTTTAAGCCAACTCTTAACCAATTGAGACACTTGGCTGGCCCATCTTCTCATTTTCTTGATGGTGTCTTTCAAAACAAATTTTTCATTTTAATGAGTCCCATTTGCCTATTCTTTCATCATTTGTTCTTTTGATACCATATTTAAGAAGCCGTTGCCTAATCCAAAGTCATGAAGATTTACTCCTGTGTTTTCTTCTAAGATTTTTATAGTTTTACCTCTTGCATTTAGGTCTATGGTTCATTTATGGTTGGTTTTTATATGTAGTGTGAGGTAAGGGTCCAACTTCATTCTTTTTTTTTTTTTTAGCTGAGCCATTCTGCCACCTGTTGGCAGTTCAGTGGCAGCTCAGCTTGGGCCGGGAATCGAACCAGCGACCCTGTTGCTCAGAGCTCACACTCTTGAGTACAACTTCATTCTTTTGCATGTGGTTATCCAGCTGCCCCAGCACCATTTGTTGCAAAGATTCATCTTTCCCCAATGAATTTCCCTGGCCCCTTGTCAAAAATCAACTAACCCTAAATGTAAGAGGGTTTTTCTGAACTCTCAATCTTATTCTATTGGCCTATGTGTCTATTTTTATGCCATTACGACTGTGCTTTGATTATTATAGAGTTGTGATAAATTTTGAAATTAAGAACTGTGCGTCCTCCAACTTTGTTCTTCCTTTTCAAAATTGCTTCAGCTATTTTGGGTCTCTTGCATTTTTGTGTGAATTTTAGGATCAGCTTGTCAACTTCTGCAAAATAAATAAATAAATAAAAAGCTATTTAGGATTTTGAAAACGATTGCATTGAATCTGTAGATCAGTTTGAGTACTGTTGCTATCTTGAAAATATTAAGTCTCCTGATTCATGAACATGGGATTTCTTCCCATTTATTTAGGTCTTCTTTAATTTCTTTTAACAGCATTTTGTAGTTTTCAATGTGTAAGTCCTGCACTTCTTTTGTTAAATTAATTCAAAAGTATTTTATTCTTTTTGATATTATTGTAAATGGAATTGTTTTCTTAATTTCATTTCAGAGTGTTCATTAGCAGCCTGTAGAAATAGTTGATTTTTGTATATTAATCTTGTATCTTGCAATCTTACAAAACTCATTTATTAGTTCTAATAGTTTACTTGTGTTTATGTGTATGTGTTCCTTAGGATTTTCTATATACAAGATCATGTCTTCTGCAAATAGAGATAATTTTACTAATTCCATTCCAATCTGGATGTCTTTTTTTTTCTAATTGCCCTAGATAGACCCTTTAGTACAAAGTTGAATAGACATGGTGAGAGTGGGTAATTGCCTTATTCCTAATCTTATGGAGAAAGCTTTCAATTTTTCACTGCTAAGTATGACGTTAGCGATGGGTTTTTCATAGATGCCTTTTACCAGGTGGAGGCCATTCCCTCCTGTTCCTACTTTGTTGAATGATTTTATCATGAAGGGGTTTTGATTTTATCTCTGTATATTCTCTTGAAGTTTTTTTTTTCACTTAACAGTATATCCTGGAAATCACTCCAAGCCAGTTCACAGATATTTCCCCCCATATTTTTTAACAACTGTATAGTTCTCTCTTGTATGTGTGTACTGATAGATGTGATTTAAGTATGAAATTAAATATTTTATACTTTAACATTCTTTAAGCCTTACAGATTGTATACAGCTCACCACATTTACCCCTTATCATATTTATCTACCTCTATTTATCTGTTTCTACTCTCCACATTAATAGGAGAGCACAAACTTATGAGTATGGCAAGAATATTCAATCCCCACTTCTATTGCCAAATGCTAATTCCCATGGAAATCATATACAGTAAAACCTTGGATTGCAAGTAACGTGTTTTGCGAGTGTTCTGCAAGACGAGCAAACATTTCTAATACATTTTAACGTGATAAACGAGTGATGTCTTGCAATATGAGTAGTTTGTTTCCAGAATGAATTATGCTTTCAAACCAAGGTATTACTGTATTGAAGTAGAAAATAGGGCTAGAGTGAGTTATTTTAAAATATTCAACCCGGGCCGGCCGAGTGGCGCGATGGTTAAGAACTCGCTTGGGATGCCAGAGGGCCTCGGTTCGGATCCCACATGTGAGGGCCAGTGACACTGCCCTCCACAGCTAAGATGCTGAACAACAGCTCAACCTGGAGCTGGGCTGCCGTGAGTCGNCCCTCACATGTGGGATCCGAACCGGGGCCCTCTGGCATCCCAAGCGAGTTCTTAACCATCGCGCCACTCGGCCGGCCCTTAAAGTTGCCATTTTGATATAACAACACATATCAAGCATGAGCATAGTGAGTTACATTCATATATATCATTCCATTTAATATTTGTCGTAATCCTATATGAGACAGGTGATAACCTCCATTTACAGATGAAGAAACCAAAATTCATAGATATTAAATTACTCAACAAAGTCTCATAGGTATGAACAAAGGAGATTGGCCCAAGGCAGAAATGTGGTTACAAGGAAGATTTAGATGATTGTTAGGGCAGTGGGAGAGAGAGAGAACTGGACAACTTTTAGGGAGTGGACAGAGGGGCCTGAGTCAGTGAAGGGCCTGAGTAGATGAGGTTGTGGGGGAGGAAGAAACTTTCCTCTACCCTTGCAGGTTCTTTCGGCTGATCTAACAATCAAATAGGCATGAGGCAGATTAACAAGAGAAAATGACCAAATTTAATTACTTTTGTACATATGGGAACACCACATACATGAGAGGTTCAGAGACAGAAAGGAAAAATGAGATAATAACTTTCTGAGCTAAAGAATGAGGTAAGGCACCTCGGGCTTCAGAGGGAAGGAAACTCATTCTTAGGACAAAAAGTAGAGCAGATATTCAGTAATTAGAAGTTTGCCCGGCAAACTTCTAATTACTGAATATAAGTCATAAAAAGTTATTTCTGGTGATGACTCCTAGTATGGACAAGGTTCCTAATTTAAATTCTTTAAGGGACAGGTGAAAGTTTCTCCTGAGCCCACAGGGTCTTGATTGCCTTCAGCTCAAAATAATTCATATGCCAAAGTGGCACATCTTGAGGAGGCCTGTTCTGAACCCCTTCAAGGTCAAGAAGGCAAGAGGAAAAGCTAGAGAAAACAGTGGAATGGTGATCAAGAGAAAAGAGTTTTAACCACCCCAGTGTCGGTGGTCACCACGATGAAACTACAGGGAGATCAGGTCCAATAAAGATTGAAAAGACCCCCAGAGCCCTTTAGTTTCGGGGTGGAAATATTAAGTCTTGTATAATGTCTGCACTTGCTATTACTACTGATGTCCCAGAGCTGATCACACGCCATGCTGTTCCATCAGAATGGGCATCTCTTGACTACTGGCATGGCACATCAAAACAATGTCGTGTTTCTTCATGTTCCTTCTTGCAGATATTCTACTTTACTCTTGTCTTAGCCATCTCTGAGTTGGATGATAACCAAGATTGCAAATTTCGTTTTTATACGAAGGAAGCCATCCCTAAGATAAATTATTGTTTTAAAAGATG